GTCATCTCGCTTCAGGCTTATTACTACTGTTGCCTTTTTATTCTGTATGACTCGTGGTAAACACGATTTCTTGTTTCTGAAGTAAATTCTTTTAATTCTAAGATGATTATACTTTTTATTCATGATAGTGGGAACCCCTTAAGTTCAAGAAATCTCTGGCAGCGATGCTCAACCAATACTGTAACGACTGCGACAAAAATAGCATTAGGTAAATACTGTTATCTTTTCATRGTCACCATTTTGATTTAAAAAATCTTTATTTGATCTTTTGTAATATTAATAGCTATGCAAGTCGATTCATATTCCGCTAGATATACTGAATAAATTAAAYATATATAAACGTAACATTTCATCGGTTTGGAAGACTGGCACTTTTCGAGGCTACTGGTGTATAACTATAATAGACTATCAGTACCGCAGCCAATCAGAGCGCAGGATTTGTGACAGACATTAGAAGGTTTATACTAATGGTAACTATTATCAACAAATAACTTTTTTGCAGTCTAATTAATTGACAATTTTACTTTTCTTTTTCAAGATCAAAAAGAGAAAGCGACACATTTACGAATTTCMATTTTTCTCCTGATGACATCATCATAGTTGAAGATCCATCTACTCGTTCTCCGCCTGGCTTCTTGTATATCGAGTTTGCTGTGGTTAAGAAAATTAATGGCAAAGCCCACGTTGTTGAGCCCGTGCGACTTCAAAAAGTTATAGATAAAGMACGTAAGACAGGGATTGCTGGGTTTGACGTCATAGCAGATGAAACTGTACATCATAATAATGAGGCACCTTACAATCTTACCATCCTATTGCAACCTGAAATGCAAGCAAGGAAAAAAGTATCTGGTACATCGTCTGGTACTTTCAAGATTGCTTTTGTTGTTGTTTTGGTACTCATGGTGGCCTCTTTAACAGTAATTGCAGTGATGGTGTTTATTCTAAGAAGGTATGCCATATTTGATCCGAATATTTAATGAATTCCCCCGAATCTGCCCAAAGTGGTACGTTAACCCCCTTTTTCTGGTAACCATTGTGGAACTTAGTATTGACAGGAGTGCCACGCCTTTCGCCATTTCATTCACCATTTCCAACAACAAGCTAAGTTCTGCAAATTCAAAACTATATTAATTAAGAACACATTTAGAAAACATTTTAATTCCAAATAACTAGCTTATTCAATTATTATAATTCATGAAATGCACTAAATCTTGAGAATTTTTAGAATTTTTTTAGAATTTTATACATTTTTATATCTTCATATTTCTTTATTYATTATTTTTCTTTTACAGGACCCCAAGAAAAACAGTGTTATACACTGATGGGTTAARTCCTGTTATAAATATTTGTTATGATATAGATGATGATGATGATTATTATTATTATACATGTGAAGACGCCACATGATAAATCGTCTCGAGTTAAAACCATATGCAATATAAGCCTTAAACTTTCTTACAGGTCTTAAAGTGGGATCATAAGTGAATTTCGTATTTTAGGGCGTGGWTTAATCCATTATTCGACTTTGTTCATTGTCATGCATTCCAGTTTTGAGCTGTGATTTCATATTCTTTATTTTGAAGGTTAGATTATTCAGCCTTTATTGGAAATTCCATTTTATTCCATTTAAAATACTAGAAAAAAAAAATTGGTCGGGCTCTCAGATATGATCAATTTACAAACCTGGGTTAAACACTAACGTTGATGACCATTTCTTTGTGTAGTAGAAAGAAGATTCCTCCCAGTAACGATTACCAACTGAAAATGCTCAACAAGACTACAAAGCGAGACTGCGAGACACTTATCAACGAAGAGGACAGTTAAACAATCCTAACCTTTTCAAATAACAAAATAACTGTTATAATATGATTGTTTTATTTTTCTGTGGACGTTTATTCATCTTTTTGACACAAAATGCAYTATTGGTGTTTTTGATTTAATATTACATTTGACAACAAAAATAGCTTTTTCTTAATTGTAGTGTAATTAGAATATGTTAAAAGGAGAGATTAAAGAAACGCAAAAATTAATTCAGCGTCAGTTGGTTTATATGCAATGCAAAATGATAACAATAATGATAATGGCAACGATGATGATGATGATGATGATGATGATGGTGATGATGATACTGGTGATGATGATGACAATGATTATACTGGTGATGATAATGATGATGATAATGATGATGATAATGATAATGATAATGATAATGATAATAATACTATTATTATTATTATTATCATTATTGTTATTATTATTATTATCATCATTATCATTATTATTATTGCGTTTTCTTTGTCAATTGTAACGTTTTTTATTTCCCTGAGGATGGCCGAGTAGGCCGAAAGCTCGGATCATATTTATTAAAATTTATGGTTGACAAAACGAACTATTATGAATTAATATTATTATTATTGTTGGCTTTCACGCTAATGACAGTGAGGCTTTCTTCTGCAAAACATACGACTGCAAAGCAAAAATGGCATCAAAACACCTCAAGAACTCAACATGACATTGAGCTGTCGTACTTCAAACTTCAAGATATCRCACAACCAAGATGAAAAAATACTACAGCCTTTTTTTCCTCTGTTTTTTCTTGTGGGGGAAAAAATCAAAATCTCTCCAGAAATGAATAAGAAGCTTTGAAAAAAATACCGACAACTCGCTAAACATGGATAATTTTTCGTCACTTTTCAATGGTTTGACTGTTTGAAGCAATGGCTGATCATGAAGACACACTTTCGACTCAGTTAAAAAAGTTACTGGCCGATCTTCTGTCCATAAGTGATTTCAAATTCAAGTAAGAATGAAATATTACTGAAATATGAAAATACTGCAAGAGCGGATGAGTCTAGAAAACTGCTAAAACGTTAAAGAAACCAATGGCTGAGTTCTAGATCTTCACCCGATCAATTCACATAAGTTCAAACTATCTTTATTTCATTTACTGAATTAGCTATTCACCACCCTTTAGTTCGTAATTCCTAGTTTTGTAAGTCGTACCAAATCGCTCAACTAATACCGTGTAGGGCCTTAACTTAAATGAGGCGAATTTCATGGATATTCCTTGTGATTTTTGATTAAAATAAGTTATCTTTAATAATTTATTAAGGTCTTTCGGCRATTTGCATTTAGAAATCTTTTTYTAAAATAACGAAGATTTSAATGTTTTAAAAGATCATAAGTACTCTCAGTAAACCATTTCATTTTTCGGTCCCTACCGTAAGTYATGGACCGCAAATTGACCAATCATAGCGCGTGAAATTACCTTGGCATATAATAATAAATAGTAAAGGCTGGAGAAAAAAAATTAAAACTTGCCCGATTTTCAAACAAAATTCCGGGTATTACGCTCTCTGTAATGTTATTGAAACTTGCCTGTCCGTTTTTCCCCTCCTTCTTATTAACTTTTTTCTCTGTGACTTTAAATCAAGTTAAACAAAGTTGGAATAGCATGCAAAAATGCAACGAGCATTATACGTGTCACTACTGCTGCTGCTGCTGCTGCTGCTGCTGCTACTACTACTGTTAAACAGTACCATTTCACATTCAAGTAAAAGACTCATCTTCTTCTTGTCTTTTGAATCCAGTATTTCCGTAGCCATGAAGTCCTTTGTATTCTGAATCAGCTGCTGGGTTYAGAGGTTGGTATTTAGTTTGGCTTTCGGGGTCGCATTCTGCATAGAYTCTTGAATCAGAATCCTCTATTTCCTTATCTCTTACGTTGTTTTTTGCTRAGCAGTTCATACTCTCATAATCATCTTCTTCAAGTGCAGAGTCATGTGCTTTCATTGGTTGGTCTACATYGACATATTCATCCTCATCAATAGGCTCGTTTGTTTGGAAAGTATTTGTCTGATCCAAAGACGATACGGTCCCCTCATTCAAGGTTTTATTATTTGCTTTAGGTAGAGTAGGTAGAGCGATAGCCCTTGAGCTTTGACCTGAAGTACTCCCAACCTCGGGTCTCCATTGGTTGTCTATTTGATCGTAGACATCATCAGTTATAATTGGAGCCGGTTGGTCTGCAGGTCGTCTCGTGTTCTCGTTGAGATGATATGGCTGGTCTTGCATTGCCATATTCTGCGTAAGAAAATAAGATTAAAAAGAAATCCTTTCAGGTCAAGATTAAAGAGTTGAACAAAAATGAATTCGTATCTATTTGCTTAAAAATTAATGGTTTTGTGCTTTGGCAAAACACTATTGCTATTGCTGCTACTTTTTCTAATTCACCACTCTCTGTACACATCGGTACTCTGGTCAAACACAAAGCACTTATGAAGCGTAGGTTCAAGGTAGTTTCGAAGGTATATTCAAATTTGAACMACTAGCCTCCACTAACTGATTTGTATTTCACCATTTAACCATTGTGTGAAAAGTGGTGAATATTGTTCCTGCTGCTTTTGTTCCTGTGCATGGTTGATGATGATGATGACGATGACGATGACGATGATGAACATGTCGTCCATTGTTGGTAGCATTGGTAATAGCGCAAAGGAAATCTTACCTTAAACTCGATGTCTCTGGYTTTAGATCTCGAGGAAATCCTAAAAAAAATTCAAATTAAATCAGATTGCAACAAACCAAATCACATCAAGCTACACATGGAGTTTTGCTTCTAATAGGCTTTACTAACGGAAACGAAAAACGGTAGTCATGACATTTTTCAAGGTTACGAGACTACTGGTGTAGCTTTAATCATCAGAGTAAACTTGTAACGAAAAGGTATTCAAACTAAGTAATGATGATAATAATGATAATGGCAATGATGATGATGATGATGAAGAGTAAACTTGTAACGAAAAGGTATTCAAACTAAGTTAACTATATTACCTTTCG